ATGACTACATATGTAGCATACAATTTTCTCATTGATTTTCGATGCCCTTGAAAATGCAATTATATTTCATGGAAAACATCCATAAAAAATATTCAGTCTTTTACTTTTTCGGTAGAAAATCACGTCTTCTTCCAAGTTCATACTCAAAAGAAGTGTATAATACGGTTTTAAAAAGTTTCTAATTGTGAGATTTTTTAATACCGTTAAACGGCCGTTCATGAAACGTCATGTATCTGCATTTACGAATGTGGTTTGTAAAGTTAACAATATTGCTCAAATCCACTGCTTAATTTTATGAACCACATATAGTCTCCTTTTAACACCGTAGAGAAATGCATGGTTTTCCGTACACGGAAAATATACAGCTTGTAGTTTTGAAACCCTGAATGGAAGTGTGACAGCAGGTCGGGTTCAAAATTATTCGGGAATTAGAAAAGTTTTTGACAACCAAATTATACTCTTCTTTTGAGTATGTACTTGGAAGAAGACTTGATTCTCTACCGAATAAGTAAAAGAGTGAATATTTTTATGAATATTTTCCATGAAATATAAATGCATTTTCAAGGGCATCGAAAATCAATGAGAAAATTGCATGCTACCTATGTAGTCATTTTTGCAGAGCATAGATCTTGCATGCCGCCGAAAGTAAGTTCTTTCGAAAGCCGACACCCTAAGGTAACTGGATCATTATAGATTTATGCTGCATCATGATTAGTTTTACAACACTACTTAATTTATCTTTTCGAAAGGAGAACGCATTTCGAAATTTTGGTTGACATTTCATGAGTTAGCACATCTACTGTATATATAGGCAGAATGTTATTACCGACAAAAACAAGGGGTAATACCATTCTGCCTATATCATGCGCCGCTGTGCGGCTGCTGGTTGGGATCGAGAAAGAGCCCGTTAGGCACACTGGAACAAGTGAGTCCCGTAAGAACGATCGGTGAGCGCCCCTCTACCATATATAGATGACCATAGTGCGAAATAATGCCGAAATATTTCAGACATTGAAGGATCTTGACCTTTGAATGCTTTTCCTTTCGGTTATCTGCAAAACCCGTACTTGGGAAAGATAGCTCCTCAAGTATCTTTGAGGTGTCCTTGTAAATTTAAATATATTTTGCGCATATAATGCACAAAAATATCCTTTCTAGAACTCATTTTACAGCAAATCGCTTCATTTTCGTTTTTTTGCACTCAAAGGAAGGGTGCGTTTAGGTTGCAATAAGGCCCCATTTTATGCGACTTTTAAGACCGTTCATGCTCCCTTAAAACAGTATCGTACTTGTAAGTTTATTGATGACTCGCATGAAGTATACAACATAGTCCACATGCATTAGAGATTTTTATGGTGACTATAGAGCATTTTCTTGATGACACAGAAGAATGCATGGTTTCCCTTATACGGAAAGTATCTAACTTGCAGACCAAAAACCCTGAACGCAAATGAAACGGCAAATCGATCTTGAATTTTTCGGGAATCTAAAAGCTTATTTAAAACTCACATAAACACCTCCTTTGAGTTTAACATTTAAAAAAATGCTCTTCTGCCAAATGAGAACAGGAAAGAATATTGCAGTACACTTTTTTCTATAAAATATATTTGAACTTATAAAAATAACAGAAAGCAAAAAAACATTCATTTTAGCTTAATAGTCATTTTTAACCGATTGCCGTCTTTGTAGGCTCCCAAAAATTAATGCATTCAAAAGCCAACATACTGCTGTGCCATCTTGGCATTATGCCGTCCAATGACCAGTAGTGTAACCCTACTAAAGTAATCTTTCCTAATCGGAAATGCATTTCAGCACTTTGGCCAGCATTTGGGTAGATCGGTCACGAATTGTATTTATTAAAGCCTTTAATTTAGGAGGAAAATTCAACGGCGTCGTAATTTTCAATTAGTTATCCTCTGGACTGTTGCCAACTGTTGACGCCGCAGTACCTCGCACGTAATCCCTATCATTGAGCTCCGTGAGAATTTTTGCCGATTTGGTAGTCAGTCCACTTCGCTGCACGCTAAATGATGGCACTTTTATGCTAGTGGTGGTAGTGGTGGGATAGTTCCTACTGAATAACATCGCGAACGAATGCTCGACAAAACCGATCCCATAGGTCCAAATTACACTGACGGATTGCAAAACGATGTGGCCGCAGCTTTGATTTTGGTTGAATAACTTCTTCTTACTAGCTCTATAACCAACAAAGGCGGTTAATTTAGCTGATCACACCACTGTTGGAACTCTAACACAAGGGAGACAGACTGATTCACTACGCAGCGAGTCCACGCCATCTTTTAACTACGCTCTAAGACCTCAGACGTAGGCTTTTAGGGCGCGTAAGTCATACCGACCAGTTCCATCACATGTTAGTCGGCGGGTTCGGACAGCCGATTAGTGAATGGGAAAGGGAAGAGAGAGTGGGCGGACACTGGGGAATTCAACCCCACGGCCATTCAACGCACTCCTTGCTATCATCAATATGCCGCGCTTGAATCTATCATGACTGGAAGGTTGCCCGTTGGCATGATAACTCGGTCCTTATTGGGGGCGAGAGTCATGTAGCAATGGCTCCTTCGTAATGAGATCTTTTTTGCAACCCCACTCATGTGAGATCCGAGCTGCCCTTGCAGTAGCCTGGCACATATATTGGAGACCAGGTTGTGTGTGGAACGCGTAGAGTGGTCACACGCAGTGTCCGTATCCACCTCCGGCCGTCTTAACATTGTACTGTCGTCGTAACGAGTAAGTGGGGGAGGCGAGAGAGTACGATAGACGCATTGCAAGCCTCCATTAATATGCTGATTCCGTGGGAGATGCGGTGGAAATCGTTGCTTAAAACGGTCAAACCGTCAGGTGGGGCAGTTGCTAGCTGGTAGAAGGTGCTTTGGAATGTCCAGCCGCGTCATGGGAGTTGGTAGTGCGAGCAGCGAGGCGAAAATATTAGAAAACCAAATGTAACGTCAAGTTGGCAAACAAGTGTTTTCGGTAATTCTTCGTCAGGCCAATGCAGTTACATGAAGGAATGAAAATGTACATAATGTACACAACTAGAAGAGGAATTTATGCGAACCTTTAAACCAAAAATCTGGCTCCGATACGTAGATGATACGTTTGCTATCATGAAGACCTGCGAAATTGAGCAACTACATCTGAGTCTGAATAGCGTCTTCCCAGCTATCCAGTTTACTCGCGAAGAGGCAACAGGAGGCATTCTCCCGTTTCTAGACGTTAGTATCCAAACTCTCAGTAATGGCGACCTTGCAACAAGCGTCTACCGAAAAGACTCCAGAGCTGACGTCATTCTTAATTATGAAAGCAACCATCCCGCAGCTCATAAAAGGAGCTGTATCCGAACCCTTTTCCACCGGGCCTATCGTTACTGCAGCAGCGATGATCTATTCAAGAATCAACTCGCTTTCCTGTATCGGTTATTCCGACTCAACAGATACTCGGTCAGCTTTGTAAAAAATTCTCTCAAGCTTCAGAGACAACCACAAGGCATTAGTTCTAATGAGGAACCAGAACTTCGGAAATTCTACTCTCTACCCTACATGCAAGGTATTTCCGAAGCGATCGCCCGACAACTAAACCGGTTTGGCATCTTCGTTGCCCACAAGCCGGCGTCCTCTGTGCGCGCTACACTATCGCGAGTGAAAGACCCTATACCTAAAGAGCAGCAAAGCAATTTCATCTACCGCATTCCGTGTGCCAACTGCTCTTGCGGCTATGTTGGTCATACAGGTCGACGACTTGGGACGCGTATAAACGAGCATAAACTAGTCATCCGCCGACGTGACCCTTTGTCACTCGTGTTTGCACACGCCCTTGAATGCGACCATCGCTTCAATTGGGAAGGAACTGAAGTTGTTTCCATGGCGAACACCAAACATGCTCGTGAATTCCTCGAGGCCTGGCACTCTAACACGACAAGCATCAATCGCCATGTCGATCTAGATGCTCATTACGAAGGTCTGAGTGCCCGGCTCACTGACTTGCGCCCACGACCTAACAACAGCCGCTAATTCACACTGGACCATGTAGAATCACATTATGTCGTCACCCCATTACACCCCCCCCCACACAGCGAACCGCAACTGCAATCCCTAACACCTCTACGTTGGGCTGACTGACCTCTGCCCGCATGTCGGATCGACGACCATTAAGTCCACTGTCCATAGTTCCATTGAATCTTCATCCCGCCTACCCTCCAACACAGGGAGCTGCAAATGTTCCCTCTGCCCTTCCCCGCCACGGATCCCAGCCTAATTATCTGTCCACCCCCATTCATACATTAGTTGCTTGCCTGTCAATGGCTGCCCTGTCACGCCAACAAATTTATTCTGACCAGTTCATTTCTCCACTGTTTACTTCGTCTGACGACGGGTTGGTGTCACCAGCTCCAAAATTCACGAGCACAACTCGATTTTTTTCGACGAGCCTTCTATCTTCATAATCTAAAGTGTTTATAGGTGTCTCAAGGCCCATTAAGTCATTAACACTCATCTTCCCCACGCCACCCGCATGACGAGGTCGGCGGGTTTTGGTCCTTAGAGATAGGAGAGGGGGTAAAAGAGTCTTTGAATGATGTTCTTGGATTGAGTGCACGGAGTACCCATCACTAATCAGGGATTTGGGGCGGCATGTCGTCATCACTTGGGGTTGGCGTTGGCCACGGCAGAGAGAGCGCTTGTGTCAGGGTTTTCCGACAGCATAACATCAGATTAGCTAGCCGTATAGCCACTGCCTCAGCCGTTGCTGGTATCCGTTGGCGTTGGCCTTTAGAGAAGCTTGTTGGTGTCCGGTAGACAACCTAAAATGCTTCCTTGACATCGACTCGGTAATTTGTATCGATTAAATGTGCGAGAATAAAACTTGAAATCGACCGGGTCTCAGCTCTGCCTAACCAGGCGGGCATATGTTCACGCACCCCCCTTATCAGGCGTCCCGTTGTGTGGCCGATGTATTCCCCTCCACAGAAGCAAGTGAATGTTTAAATGCACATTGATGTGGCCTCCAACGGCAGTCTGACTTTACCTCCAAAAAGTTGGAGGGGAGAGATTATGAAGCATACGCGTAAATTCGCCGCGGGGAGTGCCTTCGTGAAAGCTGAAGTTAAGCGCCGTCTGACTAGTTCGCTCTCTGCGTCTCCTGCAAAAGTAAGTCTTATGAATACCTCTTTCTTGTCCGCAGTCTCAACAGTGGGTTAGCGGCGCATTCCTCAATATTTCGGAGAATAAATCTATTTGGGTATCCGTCTTCCCAAAGCATGTTCTGCAGCTGTTGGAGTTCTTATTCAACGGCTTCAGGTGAGCAGATGCGTCTCACTCTATCCGCCAATCCCTTGACTAAATTTCGTTTGATGTTTAGGGGAACAAAACTGTGGACATTAACGTATTGTCCCGTCCATGTTTTCTTTCGGAACACCCTGCGCTGGATAGACCCATCCTCTTGCCTGTGCAGAAGGACATCGAGAAAGGCAAATTCATTATCTGCCTCGACCTCTGCGGTGAACTATAACGAGGGGTGCGAACTGTTGAACTTTTGGACAAGCACCTCGGTATCGGTGGTACCATCCGCCACGCAGAAGATATCGTCCACGTACCGACCGTAAAAAACGAGGCCATTAATGGTCTCTTGCAATCATGGTTTCTCGATTTGCTCAAAAAAACGTTTGCAAGGCTCCGTTCAAGCGGTGATCCCATTGCCACACCATCTACCTGCCTGTATAGGTGACCACTGCACAGAAACCAATCACAGTGGTGGGTACTCCGTGTACTCGATCCACGAACATCACTCAAAGACTCTCTTACCCCCTCCCCTAGCTCTAAGGATCAAAACCCGCCGACCTCGTCATGCGGGCGGCGTGGGGAAGATGAGTGTTACTGAGTTACTAGCCCTTGAGCCACCTATAACCACTGTTAATTGTGCATATTTTCTTTCCTTCATGTAACTGTATTGGGCTGACGAAGAATTACCGAAAACACGTGTTTGCCAACTTGACTTTCCAAGTGTAACATGGGAATATTTACGGAACTTAGAAAAACCATATGTGCAGCCTTAATTGACTAGGACAGGCGTGATAGGACCTGCCACGAATCCTGTTACATCTTGTTATTTGGGTACCCGGGAGAAAAAACTGGCGGATGAGGTATTACACAGACCGTGAGGGAAAAGCCTGACGTTGTAATTAAAGGGCTCCTTAAGGAGAAAATTACACGGGAAATGTATGCTGCCATGACCGCTGCAGACGGTCCGGCAAAACAAACTGGAAACTGACAACTTGAAGCATCCTCTACTGAACATTAATGTCATTTGTAGGCTTAGATTTTGGGACAGACAAGTGACCCGTTTTCGATCAGATATCGAAAATGCTAATACAGGGACCTACACCCAAGCAGGTGAAATTAAGGGAATGTGTCATACTAAGTCACAATTAATGAAGGAAAATTGTGTCGCGATTGTAAATAGAATAGTAGCATATCCGGCGCCTAAACAGTCCATTGGGCTAATTTTTTTGGACGGCGCACACCTGTAATGCTGGAGGGCGCACTTCACGGACCAGCCCATTGCTTGGATGAAACATGCTAATTCCGCCTGCCTTGAGGATCCAGGCTGGAGTCCAAACAGCATCCTCCACGTCTGTTTTAGTCTAAATTTAGTAGACATGCTGCATAGGCATTTTCTTTATAAGTCTATCTAGCCAACTAACTGTACGGCTAGGAGGCTATACGCAGTCTAGCACCTTCAGATATTAGTGTGATTTCCCCCCCACCCCCCCCCCCTTCCCAAAACAATGTAGAAACAGCTCGACAATTTTAGGACCTAAATTTTTAAAGCAGGCATAAACAGCAGAATTTACCGGAACCAGTAAAGTTCGCGACGGCTTATCAACTGCAGCCTGTCTCTGCATAACGCAGATACCAAGTGAGAAAGGTACAGAAGTTTGGACTCTCGCAGAGAAAATCAATGTAAAACAACAAGGTCGTTGTATACTGCACGTGAACTAATCAATAAAATGGTAACTTCAAAACGCAGACATAGGAAAAAAAATAGGGAAGTTAACACGCCGAGGGATTTCGTAAATCAAAAGGGCTCAGATCTACCAGGGCAAGCTGAGGTTGGCCACGTGGTCTAACCGTTTACATAGGTCGGGTTTCTCCCGCCGTATGTCGGCTGCCTCCAGGTAGCGCAGTAACCGAGTTGTTCGCGCTCGAACTAATACTCGAAAAGATGTTTTGGGGTCAACCGAATGACCGATACCAAGGAGGTGCTTTGTGATAGAAGACCGTGGAATTTTATTCTCCAGCTTTAGAAGCCATTTAGGCAGGTGCTGAACTGTTCTGGCTGCCAGTTGCCTTTGCGTTCGCCCAATGTAGCTGCATCCAAAAGTGCGTGTAAATTCGTAAACACAATTTGTCGTGGCGGGAAATGGCAAGGCATCCTTCGCCCGTGGAACTTGGATAGCCTTAGTAGGGCTGCAGAATATGAGTTCAGCTGAGTTGTAGGCTTTTTCAATGGCGCATCTCAATCGCCGCTTGATGGTATTTGAGATGTTGTCGCCCTTAAAGTGTAAGGATATTACAAAGGGATTTTTCAGAACTGATTGCCCCGTCAATTTTGGCCGTAAATTGTTGCTATACTTTTTTATGAATCGTGTTGGATATCCCCGTTTAAGCAGGGCTGTTTTGAGGCAAGAAATTTCATCATCCAGCTTCGACTTAAATTTTGTTACAAACGGAGAGCAGATTAAGTTGTTCACTTTGCACCTGACAAACCGTCCGACTTCATTGTCGAGGTGGAACTCTGACTCTAAACAGTCCAGCTGATGAGTGCTCGCAAAAACAGTAAACAGAGAGAGCGAGGCCGACACAGGAATTCATCCTCATGGCACACCAACGCACTCCTTGCTATTGTAGTGACATTTAAGTCCGTTTTGTTTGAATCAGTGACAATACGCTTTCTATAGAATCTGACACAACTTTGACTGAGACATTGAACATGCACGCGCTTGTTCTATGTCCCAATCAAAGTTGTGTCAAGTTCTTTAAAAGGTGTATTGTCACGGATAAAAGCAAAACAGATTTAAATTGCACAAAATTACTCCCTCTCCTAGGAGAACAGAGCTAAAAAAACTATTATTGATAGAAGGAGAAGGTGGGAATGTTATGCATATTGTACAAGTTGTAACGGTTGGGAAAACAGTCATGACTCATCTTCGAGCCACCCCTCCAGGTGCTCCAACAAGTAAGTCGTTCATCGACCCGAACTTACTAACATGTTCTTTTGTATTTGTCCGCGTAAACAGCGTTCGTTGGCCACTAAAACAACCCTACGACGGCCAATTTCGAGTACTATTTCGCACGGACAAGCATTTTACAATTGACCGTAGAGGCCGCACCCACGTGGTCTCAGTCGATCGCTTGAAGGCGGCTCATATCGAGTCTCTTTCAAATTCCCCAACCGAACAACCTCCACTCAACACATTACAACTCGCTTTTTCTCAGACTCCACTTACGCCCAATAACCCTGCGTCTTGCCTCATCTCACAGACCCCTCCCCTTACGCGCAACAGTCGTCATATCCGTTTTCCCGACCGTTACAAACTTGTACAATATGCATAACATTTCCCCCTTTTCCTTCTATTAGCAATACATTTTCGAACTCCGCTCTCCTAGGAGGGGGAGTATTGTAGTGACATTTAAGTCTGTTTTGTTTTAATCAGTGACAATACGCTTTTTAAAGAACATGAAACAACTTTGTGTGAGATATAGACCAAAGCACGTGTACTTTTACCTGCTGACGACTTTGTTCTTATTTACTAGTTTGCAACTGTTGGGATACTGCTATCTTCGTTTCCTGGATAGCCTACTCACTGTGTCTAACTAATGGGTTTATCGCTTACACTATCATCACTATGCCGCGCTTGAATCTATCATGACTGGTTAAGTGCCGTAACTTGGAAGGCTGCCCGCTAACATGATAACTCGCTTCTTCTCGTGAGTATGGCTTCCATGTCCACTCACATACGTGAGATTCAATTCGTCCTTTCTATAGCGTGGTGCATCTGGCCATGCCGAGGTCGACGCTTGTCAGCTGGTGTGCTTGCGCCCATCCTCTTTAGTCGTTTTAAGGTGTCTTGCCATCGAAACGAGCTGGGTGATGGAGCAAAGAATGTGGGAGGTAGTGTGCAAGTCGGCTTAATTAAAAATAACATCGCGCGCAAGTCACCGGTGTTGCGCCGGCTTCGTCGGGTGTCCAAGCGGTAGATGCGCTGGGCCAAACCAGGGCTTAGATCGGGGGCCGGCAGCCGTTATCGGGTATGCACACCCGCAACAAAGGCCAACATTAAGGGTTTGGCAGCACGCCCAGGTGCAGGTCCACGCCGCGCTCATTCGGATACGTGTCACCCGCCTGTCTTTCTAGCGGTGCAAATTCCTAGTTACTGTAGACCAAGGGGGGTGTGGTGATACGTCTGGGTGCAGGCTCGGCCGCGCCGGCCACCTACCCCCTCTCTCACCACCGGTCTTCCTGGCTCTTTCTTGGCATCGGGCCCAGGGGGGGGGGGAGAGGAAGGGAATGCGGTATATATATATATATGGGCGTCATACGCTTATTATTACCAGACGTTGGGAGAAATTCTCACAGAGACAGGCGACGACATCCGAGCAACTGACTTTCCTTCACCGCTGTCGCGATCATGGCATCTTACCGAAGTCCCTCCGCTTCAAGCCCACTCTACCAAATGAGACAGGAAGGCCACTCGCACGCAAATACGGATTCCGTGTTTTGAGTGCCATTATATTAGACGTGCACCACCGACTTTCTAGATTTGAGACAATAATCTCCGACCTTAAGAACCAGTGCTTCTCATCCTTACCTGAAGATATCTTCGAAGCCATACTACAACGTATAAATGCGACCTCAACAGATGCCAGAATGAAGAAGCGAGCCGAGTTGAATGATAAACTGCAATCCCTTCTCTGTCCTACCGACAAGTGCAGCATGTCTGCGAGAGTCGTTAACCTTTCGAAAAGGAGTCTAACACCCGCCGAGATAAGCCTACTGTCTAAAGGACTTAAATTCAATCATAGCGATGCAGCACCAACAAACTTCCTAGCGAGTCTTGAATCCGTCCTACTGGCTTCTGCTATCCCTGAAGACGTGCGTGCGGACATACGCAGTTGTGCCAGTGATCTTCTTCGACAAAGGAAACGTCACCGTAACTTGACCATCGATGAAGAAAAAGGGTTGCGATCTCTGAAGACTGATGACAGTATCGTGGTTGTACCTGCTGACAAAGGAGGCGCAACCGTCATCATGGACAAGGCTGATTATGTTCGAAAAGCAAACACTATCTTTAATGACAGGGAAGCTTACGCATCACTCGCTGAGGACCCGACGAAGAAGCAGGCCGCGGTTATAAAGAAGAAGGTGAATGAACTCGCTTGACTGAAGCTGATTAACCCGAATGACTCCAAATTCATGACTCTCACTGACCCCCGTATCGCGCATGCCTACGGCCTTCCAAAAGTGCACAAACCAGATGCACCATTGAGGATAATAGTGCCACTTATCGGGTCGCCCACTTACAACCTAGCCAAATGGCTTTACAGGCATCTGAAGCACCTCGCTAATGGATCCCAATACAGCATCACAAATTCTCAGGCATTCCTTCAAAGGATTGAAGGTCTTAAAGTAAGGCCTGATGAAAGTATTCTATCATTTGATGTTGTCGCATTGTTTTCCTCAATACCACATGACCTTGCCATTGAGAGCGTGGCCCATCGCTTACGAGACAATCCCATCGACCTTCCAACACATCACGTTCTAGAATTGCTTAAGCTCTGCCTCAAAAACTATTGCCAATTCGATGGCAAATACTACCAGCAGGTTAAGGGCACCCCAATGGGTTCGCCAATTTCGGGGCTACTTGCAGAACTAGTCTTACAACGACTAGAACAAGATGTTGTGCAAAGTTTCCAACCAAAAACGTGGCTCAGATACGTAGATGACACATTTGTCATCGTTAAGAGCTGTGAAGTTGAGCGTTTTCACCAGAGCTTGAATGGCGCCTTCCCAGCACTACAATTCACTCGTGAAGATGCAAAAGGAGGCACCCTCCCATTCCTAGACGTGAGCATACAAAAGCTCAGTGACGGCGGCATCGCAACAAGCGTTCATCGGAAAAGCTCTGACGCTGAGATCATCCTGAGCTATCAGAGTAACCACCCAACAGCCCATAAAAGAAGCTGTGTTCGGACCCTTTTCCACAGGGCCTATCGTTACTGCAGTAGCGCCGATTTACTCAAAGATGAACTGGCCTACTTGCATCGCTTTTTCCGACTCAACGGATACCCGGCGAGCTTTGTGAAAAATTGTCTCAGAGGTCAACAACAACCACAAAATGTCGACTCTAACGGAGACAGAGTATCACGGAAATTCTATTCCCTGCCCTACATGCCGAGAATTTCCGAAGCGATCGCTCGACAATTAAATCGATTCGGCATCTCCATCGCCCACAAACCGGCGTCTTCATTGCGCACGACATTATCCCGGGTAAAAGACCCCATACCGAAGGAGCAGCAAACAAATGTCATTTACCGCATTCCATGTTCAAACTGCTCTAGCGTTTATGTTGGGCATACCGGCCGACGACTTGGGACCCGCATTAACGAACATAAGCTGGCCATCCGCCGACGGGACCCCTTGTCTCTCGTGTTTGCGCACTCCCTTGAGTGTGATCACCGCTTCAACTGGGAGGGGACCGAAGTGATCGCTAGTGCCAACACCAAACAAGCGCGAGAGTTTCTAGAAGCTTTGCACTCTAATAGCAATAGCATCAACCGCCATGTCGACTTGGACGCTCAATACGAAGGCTTACGTTCACGGTTCGCCGGCTTGCGCCCACCCTAAGCCACCAACTGCTAATCCATGTTCGGCCATGTAGAATATCATGGATTCAGCACCTCCCCCACAGAGTGAACCATGTGTGAAACCCCCAACACCACCCCTTACGTCCGCCACCTATCCAAACATGTTCTTCACCCCCACACATAAACGCCTGTCTGGTCGATGTGACCTCGATGTCCCCCTGACTCCGCAGTAGGATTATCTCCCTCACACTTTTCATTTTCGTCTGACGACGGGTTGGTGTAACCGACTTTAAAATTCACGAGTATACCTCGATTTTCCGACGAGCCTTCTCCTTTTATTATATCGCCTCGGAATGCATACTACCTCCATTATTCATATATATATAAACTAATTCACGCGCAAGTCACCGTGCCTACTCTCAGCCTGCTGTGGAGCACGTGGTGAGCATCGTCGCTCACGACGGTCGAAGTGTCGGTACACGAACAGTAACTAGCAGCGTCCGCTAATAGACTGACAATAATTAAGTTGTCGATGCCGTGAATGAGAGCTTGCGAAATGAAATGTGGACATTGAGTTTCGGTGCCGCCAAGTTGCGCTCAGGAAGGCTACCATCGGCATCATACGATGGATTATAGCCATCTCTGTCCTTGGGTGCGTACAACTGGTGAGGAAGTATGCATTGCTCTTGGGGGTCACTGTAACATGTTTCATCTAGTGGGAGTTATTAAGGCACTTGGTTTGCTGCATTGGTGTCGGGTTAGTAGGAAAGGCTTTTTGTTTTAAACTCTTTTTGGCAACGGTAGGATGTGTAACCCCAACGCTCAATTAAAGTTAACTGTCTTGTTATTCTTTATGAGAGGGGATATGAACAAATATTTTTAAAGAACTAAATAAGTCACACGTGCGCGTCCGGCAAAAGAAACTGTTTAGAGATATCGAGGAAGCAGAGCGTTTCTGTTCTAACCGAGGTAAAGTAAACCAAAACGCAGCTGGCGATCCTTGCGGCACGCATAGTATGATGAGTACCAGCATGACACACAAAGGTTTAACTACTCTTTTGGAAGAAATAAGTAGATAACTGCGAACTAAATCGACGACGGAAGTTAATACAAGTACATTTAGCTAACTAGGAAATCAAGGTAAGACAAAGCGATCATGCGAAATAATTTATCACTTAGGATTCCTAAACTGGAAGCTGCATATTTTCCGCGTGAGGAAAATCCTGCATTTCTTTACGTATTTGGGAAAAAGTCATAAAGGATGCGGGCCATGTCGTATACTTTATAAACAGCTTTACTAAACGGACACATGTGGTTCTGTACAAATAAGCACTTTACAATCCAAAAAAGCGAACTTCCTCAAATCAATAGTCATCATATCTTCAGGCGTAAAATTCAAAGAAGGTGCAAGTGGGTGCACGTCTTCTACAAAATATATTTGAACGCACAGCGAATAACGTATATAATGAAATTTTGACCGAAATTTCGAAATGCCTCCTCGATTAGGAGGGATTACTTAGGTGGGGTTGTAGTATTGATTATTATGCGACAAAATCCTATAATATTTCAGACTCGCCAGGATGACGGCACCTCTTTTCGGCCTCCTGTAGAAACTGTACTCGGTAAAATGTCTATTTATGGAGCATGCGTTCTTCATATTGATTCTCAGTGGTCTTATAAATTCTAAAAGATTTTATGGAAAGCACGCACAAAATAAATTATTTTACTCATTTGGTAAAAAATCGCGCAATCACTACATATTGTACTTAAAGAAAGAGTGACTTTTGATTTTAAAAAAATGCTGGTTGTGAGATTTGTTAAGACCGTGCAATGTCCATTTATACCGCATCGTACCTGTCTGTTTATCAATGTTCCACATTAAAACTACAACGTAGTCTGCATCCATTTCAAAATCTTTTGAACTCTACATATATGACATCTTCTTAAAGGAATAGAGGAATGGGTTAGTCCCTCTAGGCGGAAAGCATGCATCTTGTAGATTGAAATAACTAAACGTTAATGCAACGACTGACCAGGCTCAAAATTATTCGAGAATCGGGAAACTTTTTCAAAACTCACATATACCCTTTCGCCTGGTATAAAATGTGAAGATGGCATAATTTTCTACCAAATGAGCAAACGAAAACACATTTCTGTGCGCTTTTTATAAAATATTTTTGAATTTATAAGACCATCGGAGGTCAATAAGAAAAATGCATGCCAATTAAGTAGTACCGAGTGTGGTTTCCACAGGAGGTTGAAAATAAGTGTCTTTAAGTGTCGCCGTCCAGGCGAGTCTAAAATATTGTAGGATTATGAAACAAGATAATCATAAGTATAACCACATCTAAGTGATCGCTCCTAATTGAAAACGCATTTCGGAATTTCGGCCAACATTTCATGAGATCGGTCACTCACTGTATAAGGACGTTGATAACGAATGAAAAAATTCATACCACCCAATGGGTCATTTTTTGCTAAATGTGTTTTTGCGGACCTCAAGAATTTCACTCATGCATGTTTTCCATGAAATATAATTAGACTTTTAGGGGTCATCGAGAATCGATGACAAACATTCATGCCACTTAAGTAGTCATGTTTTGCAGAGTGTAGTTTTGCATGCAGCCGGAAGCAAGTTCATTCGAAAGCCGGCATCCTGAGGTAACTGAAATATTATAGACTTATGTTGCAGACTGACTAGTTTTACAACCCTACTTAATTAATCTTTTGGAAACGAAAACGCATTTCGGAATTTCGGTAGATCTTTCATGAGTTAGCCCATCTACTCCATTTGCAGGTGGTTAGATTTGATTATTTGACCACTTGAACATCTGGCAGTTCAGTTTGCAGTCTGCTATATACTGGAAAGAGTTGGTTCATTCTACTTCAGTAATGTAACGATAACCCCTGGAATTAACCTCCCCTCATTTAAGACATCCCGCTGTCCTTACAGCGCAAGGATTCTATGCTTTTGCCTTGTTTTCTGTTGCCGTGTCTACCTTTTTCAGCCTTATGTCGGTGGTCCTTCTTGACTTTCGGCCTGTCGTCTCCTTTCAAGTTTAGGGTTAGGGTTATGTTTGGGAGTAGTGGCTAGAGTTTAAGGCTAGGGTTAGAGTTAGGGTGAGGTGCATGGGGTTAGTGCTATAGTTTTGGATTAGGGATACGCTTAGGGGTTAGGGGCCAGAATCCGATATGGCCCCCGTGTTGGTCCAGCGCATCTACCGGGCGGCCAGTTTTGGGGACACAGCGTGCTGCCACACTACCTTAGTTACACACAGGTATAAGAAAGAAGTGTCTGTTGTTGAGTATCCACGGTAACTTTGACGTTTTGGTATTTTATACGCAACTAGCCAACGAGGAGGAGGACGAATAACAGCTACCTTGATGATTTCACTAGGTACACTCAGTGAACGTGAAACGAGAGTTTGTAGGGGGACAACCAGTTTGCAAGTTCATACGTGAGTTAACATGAAGTGAGGGGTTCGGTAGATGCCGCGAAAGTCTGCCTCGCTATAATGTGAATCACTTGCAAGTTACCGATGCTGCGCTTGGTAAGATGTGGTAATGCTGCCCCAT